GTTCAACTGTGTTTTGTAGGAGCAAAGGCATATTATTACCCAAGAGCCAATTTGATGTAGCGGTTGAGGCTGCAGGCTAAAAACCAGGAGGCTGCGAGTTCTGGTTCTGCTTTAAAGCACAAAGCCAGCTGGGCAACTTAGAGTCAATCACTCTCAGTCCTAGGAAAGGGGCAATGGCAAATCATTCCCCAAAGGTTCTCGCTATGAGAATAAGAAAATATAAGCACTCACTAGAGATCAATGCTGACTTGAAAGTGTGCACATGCATTCACTCACACATACATACAAGCATACACAAAAGTATCTACTACTGAGATGGAATCAGAATGATGACCTGCACACTGTCATGTCATAATTCAACTCCCACTCCAGGTAACTAAATAGAGTATATTCTCCTTCTTCTGTGTCTGTGTCTAGATCAGGGGTGTCAAACTGGTGGCATGCGGGGTGGATGTGTCACATGCAGGCCACACCCATCCCAGCTCTGCGAAGGGAAAAAAACATGGCGATACATCACGTGACGGCAACATGACACAGCCAGTTGGACACCCGTGGTCTAGATCAAACTTCAAATTGCAGAATGAAGCCACTTTCTTGGCTTTGTCAGTGGCCAAAAATAAGTCATGATTGGTACATGTTTCTGGTAGCAGCTGAACATACCAGCAGATGGGCCAGGTACTGTGTTTCTCCATATTCATACAGTGTGTTGTTATCCACCCAAAGCCTCCACTTGAGCATATTGGTTTTACACTTAGGCATTCCAACTCTCAATCTATTCAGAGTCTTCCAGGTCAGTCACCATGGAAAAGTGGGGAAGAGAGGAAGGGAATAAGAACTGGGAGGTGGGATGAGTCAAGGACACTCCACAGCCAAAAGGTTGCAAAGAAGGCACCAGTTTTGCTCTGGTTTCTGTAATGGAACCAGAGAGGAAAAAACACCTCAGCAACTCCATTCTCACAGCAGCAGATTTCATACTGATCTCACACCTGCTAATCCAGAGTTCACCTTAGTATCTCTTAGTTTGTTGTTTTTATAATTACCTCGTGCCAAAAATGCTGTGAAGTTTTAATCAAGAGCTACAAAAGAAAACCAGGATTTCAGGACAAGGCTCCTAGTGCCAATTTGCTAAGCAACTGTATTTACAGGGCTACTTTTACTCCTATATGACATGTTTTGTCATTATGCTCAATTTTAATTTTACCCGTTGTTCTCCTAGATATCATTAATTTGTTCTTCCACTCCTTATTTGGGTGTGGGTGTATGCGTGAGAGCATTATCAGTTGTGCCAAGTGAATTTGATATTCTAATTAGCCAATGGCTAATTAGAAGATGCTTTAATCAGTTAGCCTTTTCAAAAACCTAATTCAATGAATTCACTTTCAAAAGTCACTCAGCCCTGGTAAATGCATTGTTTGCAAGCTCTATAAAATTATAGAGCCTGACACCTTAATGAATCCAAACAATCTTTAATGGAACATTATTAGATTGTGTTGATGAAACAGCATGAACTTGTTTTGTAACGTTTAGTTAGCTGGGTGCCGTGAAGTCTGGCTTGACCATTGGCAGCCTTATGGAGAAGTGTCCATCATCTCAACTTGTCCCTAGTGACCACCTGTAGCTTTTCCAAGTGCTTATCAACTCTCTCACCCACCCTTTTTTTTTACTTCTCTTAGTCTTTCCAAATATCTTTAGTTCCATCATCCCGCTCACATCCCATGTTCAAAATATACATGTTTGCTGATCATGAGTTCTTAAGCCTTGATTACATTCAACTAGCAGGTTGCCTTTGCATAGTTGATTGTTCCTTAGATTGATTTTATATTCTCTTGTTTTCTAGATTAAGTCTTAAGGGCAACACCTACTTGCTTTAATTTTAATGTAACCTATATACCTCACACCAACCTGTCTCTTCCATAATCTGTGCTTGGAAGTGTCCTTGTGCCCGTGTTCAACAGTTTGTGTACTAGACCTGATTCCACTATTGTGCATTTGGTGATGTCCATGTGTCGATGTGGTTTAAAGCAACTGCACATAGACCACAACTGCATGATCAGTCACTTACAACCATTTCACGTTAGAACAGCCCCTCCCTAAAACATACCTACAAGCTGGCTCCGGAAGTTCCAAGAGCTGCCCTCCCCATGGACATGTGACCACATTTCTGGTGCTCAGCAACTTGCCAGGATTTATAGTTGTTTGCAGCATCCCATGATTATGCAAAGGAAGAATGTTCTGCCCCAAACTTTATTAACCCTATCCTACATTGTGTGGTGTTCTCTCAGTCAAAAGTTTCCCAATAGTTTAAAATTTTGCTGTTTTCCCAACTGTTGCATTTCAGTCATCTTTTATCAGTACAGTGTCTTTTATGGGTGCCCCCTTTCAGTTTTGCCATACAATTTTTCTGTCACCTTCCATTGCCTCTATAGTAAGTGCATATATCCTTGTGCATATAGTGGGGCTAACAGGATTCCTACTCATTCCAATTGGTAATTTACCATCAAGACCTGCTTAATTGGTATACAAATGACAGATCAATCCTTTGTGAAAAATATGTCTTTTTTATTCCATAAATAATCCAGTGTTATTGCAAATAAGGTTTTGAGTCATCATTTTCTCAAATCTGTGTTCTTTAAACAGTAGGAATAGCTTCCTACCGTCAGGTTCAGTATAGAAAATATACAGTACATTTTTAGCAAATGTTCAGGACCAAAGGATGATTAACGTTGCATACAGGTAAAACGTTTATCTGGCAGTAATACCCAGGTTTATTTTTGAAACAGGAATGCATAGGATCAGACTGTCACTTAGGTAAAATAACAAACTGCTAAATTTTGACTGGAAAAGTGTTTTCTTGCAGTGCATCTTGGTCAGTGCAGTGTTTTTTCCTCCTGATTCGAAATACAAGATTCTCCCCTTTCTTTCCAAATACCTTTTAGATGAAGCATTTATTGCATCAATCACTTTGCCCCCAATTCAGGGAATTTCTCCCAGATAATGTGATTCATTTAATAACTGGCCTGCATTCTACCATTTTGTATTCATTTTTCAATAACTGACCCAAAAGACATAGAAGAAAATAGCAGTGCAATTATGCAATAGATGAAAATAAGATTTTGCTTGAGAAAGGCAAATTGATATACCGATGGCACCCTTTCATCTCTTGCCAAGACTGATTACTGCGGACTTATTTGCTGTCCTATACGTAGCCAATCTTCTTCATTTCCACAAGGAGCTCAACATACAATGATATCCCATTAAATTTAGTTCTAAGTATCCATTGGTAGAATCTGATTCTGATCCTCTTTTACAATGCTCTCGATACACACTTTTAAAAGCAGAATGGAAAAACAAGTTATGTCAACTTTCTTCCCTGACTGACATTCAGTTGAATTAAAACTGCCCTACTGTTCCCAAGAAAGGTCATCTAAAAAAACAAAGCAACACAAATAGCATGTGCCTCTTTTAACTTCCAATTGTTTGCTTTTGCTTAGAAGTAAATCCATAATATGAGCGATTACAATGCCATTGGTTCAGCCAGATTCTTTTAGGGTCTGAAATTAAATCATGACTGTTAAAAAAGTTATAAAAAGTTATAATAGCCCCGCTAGCCTTGAGATGGTGTTGTGTGTGTGTGTGTGTGTGTGTGTGCACAGAAGAGTTAATTTGTTCTTGTTGCATCACATTTCTTCATTCTCCATCATTCCCACCAGTGAAATTCATTCCATTCATTGTCAAATTTGACATTTTAAAACGGGGTAGGAATGAAAATGGTTTGAAGGTCTTATTTCCTTTTGAAAAGTTTAATAAAATACATAGACATGTCAATTTGGGAGATGTTGCCCTTCAGATTCGTTTTCTAGCCACCAAAACTTTGCTCAAAACTAACAACAAACAAAGCACCGGAGCTGGCTTTGTAGAACGGCTCTTACCCAATGCTGACTTCAGCATAAGCAGACAAATTCAATCTTATTTGTAACACACTGCATACTGCTTCTGTAAATCTGCAAATCAAGCATACTAGAAGCATTAAAGCACATGCCACTTTTAAAGTTTCAGTGCAATGTAATTAGAATGTAAAGTCTCACTCAACCAGCATTCTCTCACGCAGGTTTACACTGTTAATATGCTATGAGCAAATTAACTTAGGTCCCCTGCATTTCATTCCCCATTTTCTAAGGAACACAACCAAACAAGCATAACTGCTATGATTCCTATTTACTTCCTATGATTCATTGTTAACATTTAAATAACCCTGCCCACCCTCCCCACAAAAACCTGGATTATTCCCATGAACACCTGTGCATAAGAGAATTTTTTTTGCATCTGAGACATAAATTTGTTACTTAGACATTTGTTGGAATCTATTCCAAACAAGCTGACAGCAGGCATTCCTGAGTACAAGTTTTTAATCATCTCAATTCTTGCTACTGTGTCTTCCATCTATATGTTTCATTTTGATCAGAGGCACAAACTCTTTTGTAGCAAATTGCAAAAGGACCAAGGAGTTAAAAAATTCCTGAATTAGAAAGCAAATGAATGAATAACACATTCAAAGCACACTGTCTTGTATTTGCAATTGTGAATGTAAGGGTTTAAAAGCCATTCAAAAATAAATATCTCAGATGTAAAGGAACCAAAAAATGGAAAGTAAGTTTCAGGGATTTGCCAACAATTCTTTTTTTTTAAAAAAAATTGCAGTTAGAGTGAGAAAGCAAGAGCAAAATCTGCCATTCTTGACTAGTTTCAGCAAGTTTCAGTGTCAAACCCTCATGTTGGGTGCTTTGGTTTATATACACAGTATCATATATTTTCCCCAACAGTATTTCCTTAGAGAATTAAATATTAAAAACGGCAACTTTTCTTCATTTGAAAAGTTTGAAATAAACAAAACAAGGGCTACTTTTTCAAAAAAATTACGGAGAAAACTAGCTTTTTGTTTGTTTGTACAAATATAGATATATTTTCCAGGATTTAATGATTTGAACAGAAACGGCCTGCGTAATGAACTATCAACATGGTCCCGGTCACCGACCCAGATTGGATCCTGCATTATGATAATGTATTGCAATACATCAGAAACGGGAGGAAAAGCAGGAACTCTTTAATCCAAACATTTTGCGCCGATGGAAACTGGTGCACCGAAGGTCAAAACAGGGGGGGGGGGGGGACACACAGCTTTGCAGTCCCTGAGATGATGTGAAAAGCCCGGGAGGAGAGAGAGCGGGGGGGGGGGGGAGTGCTACACGAGGGATTCACACACAGGCACCGAGTCCGAGTCTTGGCTGTGCATAGAGCTTAAACCCGTGTCGGAATCCTCGTCTTCCCGATCCTCGCGGTCTTTGCTCAAACTCCGGGCGGCTTCCTCACCCCAATCTCCCGAGGTGATCGGGACCGAAGAGGGCAGCTCGTCGCCCGGGTTGAAAGGGAGGCCCCGTCGCTCGTCCTCGTCTGCCACCGCCGTTTCCTCCTCCTCCTCCTCTTCCCCCTCCCCCTCCCCCTCCACGTGTAAGGACTCCAGGGAATCGAGCAGGCGCTGCAATTCCCGCTCTTTATCGGCCCAGGCGCGCTGTGTAAATTCCAGGTCCGACTTCACGGCGTCCAAATCCGTGTTGAGGCGCAGCCCGATGTAGAGGCTGGTGCTCAACTGCGTCTTGACGCGCTCCTGCTCCACGTGTAGCTCGCCGCCGCCGCCGCTCAGCTCGGTGGTGTTGCAGTCAGTCTCGGAGAGGCTGGCGCTGGAGCCCTTGGCGGCCGCCAGCTCATCCCGGCGCCGCCTCATCCAGCGCTCGTTGAGCTCCTCCTGGATCTCGCCGGCCAAATGCTCGATCAGCTCCTCCTGGCGGCGCCACTGCTCCTGCACCCGAGCCACCTGCTCGCACTTCCGCGCGTACTCCTCCAAGTCCTCGCCGCCGGCCGCCGGCTTCTCTAACTCCCCCGCCGCTGCCGCTGCCGGGGCCGCCCCTGCGGGAGACTTCAGCTCCTGCTCGCCCGCGGGGGGCTCCGGCTCTTCCCCGACCAAGTAAGTGTCCTGCACGTAGTTGACTCCGTGGCGCTTCATGCGGTCGAAATGAATCCTCGCCTCATAGCGGTCGATCTCCCGGTCTAAGTCGCGGAGCCGCTTGATCTGTTGCCGGATGGTGTGGTCCTGCGAAAGGACCAGATGCACCAGAGTCTCCATCCTTTCGCCCGCCGGGGCTTCCTTGGCCGGCGGCTCCTCGAGCTGCGGCTGCCCCTTCCTCTTGTTGATCTTGGCCAGCTTGCGGAAGGCTTTCCTCACCACGCGCCTCTGCCGTTCCTGGCTCAAAGCCAGGCTGGCCCGGGCTGTAACCCCCAAGCCGTGGCATCCCGGGCTGTCCCTGCTGGGCACCACCCTGGCTTCGGCGCTCCTGGGTCCGGTGTTGGGCAAGGAGGCCTCGCTGCGCACCAGCACGAAGCGCACGTTCTCCTGCTCGTCTCCCCAGGCCGCCCAGAGCCTCAGGATCTTGGTCTTGTTGGGCAGGATCCTCTCAAAGCCCCGCCACTTCTCCACGATGCAGTAAGACTGCGGGAGCCCCGACAACATCCCCCCGCCGCACTCCTGCAGCGATGCCTGCTGCAGCTGCAGCGGCTGCTGCTGCTGCTGCCGCCGCCTGCGCCGCTGCCTGCTCTCCTCCAAAAGGACCCGCACCACATCCGAGCAAGTGGTGCGTTTGGTGAGGCCCGAGATTAACTTCTCCTCCTGGCAAATCCACACCGAGATCTTCTTTTCTTCCGGCTCCATCGGGGCACGGGACCTCGGCAATGGGGCTGAGAGGGAGCGCTGCTACTCGGCGGGATCCCCCATAGGAGAGCGCTCACCAGAGCCGCGCCGGACCGAGCTGCGCCGCCCGAGAGCCCCCGTGGGGAGGCATGGCTGCGACCCTTCTCCCCTGCCCGCCTGCGGGGCGCTTACAAAAAGGAAACGAGCTTCAAATTGCAGCAGTCCCGGGATCTCCCTCTTTCGGATCCGCTCCTTCTTAGGCTCGCGGAGAAGAAACCAACTTCGGAGGCTCAGCTCCGCCTCCTCAATGCTACTGTTGCTGCCGAGCGCCTGCCTTCCCCGGCACCTTCCCTCCTGACACTGCTCGGTCTCCTCGCTCTGCTCCCGCGTTTCTCTTCTCCTATCACGTGATCCTTCTCTCCCCCCCCCCCCCCCCCCCCCCTTCCTCTGCTCCGCAAACCTGTTCCCTTCCTGGCGTTTTCTTTCCAATCTCTTCCCCCCCCCCCCCCCAGTTTTTCTTACATTTTATTCTTCGTTTGAAGTGGATAAAGTCTTATAAAGAAAATAATGTTTTTCTGGTGCTGTATAGATTCTCACCCCCCCCACACACACACTTTAAAAGGACAGGGGGCCACTCCCCTCAGTTGTACAATTTCACACAAAGGGTGTTTTTTAAAAAAAAAAAAAAAAAACATCCTTGCGGTGGTCCTTCCTAATGGGTTTGGGAACTCCTGGGGAGAAGAAGCTCCTGTTCAATTATTCTCCAACATCCTCCCCCCCCCCCCCCCCCCCCCAAAAAAAACTTGGAAGAGAAAGTTTCAAAGGAAGCAGCCAAAATTCAGTCCAAATTTCTTTCAATTGAAAATCCCCCACCCTGTAATTAAAAAAAAAACACCTTTCGCATGCCAAAGCATTTCACAGATCATATGCACAGTGAACTGTAAACCTTACTAAGCATTATTAAAATCTGTGGTTGCGGCCAGGATTCAAAGAGAAAATTTGAATCGTATTTCAGTAGCAGAAAAATGAACAGACACGAAGTCTCTACCCTTTTACATATGCCCAGATGGGACGAAACCCCGTTATTCTGACTAGAATTCACTCCTTGGCAATTGGATTACTATACGTTTTACGTTTCTAGAAAATGAATATGAAAAACGAGCTTTCTTTTTTGCCTTTGCGTGACAGACGTTTCTAGTGTGCTGAGAATGTTGCTTTAAGTTTTATTTTTTTTTACTTACAACATTTGTAGAGCCTCCCATCTTAGAGCAAAACTAATCCCAATAAAAACAATGTATGCAACAGTAAAAGGGGGAGGGGGGGGAATCAAAAAGCCAGAAACCAAAAGACCAAGTGCCACAGTTACACTTCCCTTATGCAACTCCCAATGTTTTTTTTTTCCCTACTGTGACCACAACCAAGTCCCAACCATCCTGGGGGAGAGCCAGGTCTTAAGTGCTCTCTGCAGTTTAAGTGGGGGAGAGTGCTGTGGTATCTCAATAGGGCAATGGAAAAGGCATATTTCTGGTGGCTGGCACGATTGCAGTGTTTAATGCATCCTACTACCATCCCTATCTACCTTGGTGAGATAGGCAGATCGCCTCAGGGAGAGGCGATCCCATAGATTATGTTTTTTTTCCTCCCATTAAAGAAGTTGCTGATTAATAACAGCAGAGTTTCACTGACATTTAAGATGATCAGGTTTCTCCATGAATTAAAAGTCATACAAAAGGCAAAAATGAGAATGGGAGGAAAGGAAAGAGAAGAGAAAAGAGGGAGGGGAGAGAAGCACAGCAACAACTCATTACTCCTTTTTTGCTGCCAGATAAATTCTCAGTGTTTGGTGCCCAGAGCAGAGAACATTAAGAGTTGAGCTGGAGATGCGCAAATTACGAGTTCAAACGGTTTGCAGTTTCAAGAGTAATGGTTCGTGCTGATTTATGAGCTTTTGTAAAAACTGATCTGGACTAAGGATTAAATCGGGCAGATGTGCTTCCTTCAGAAATGGGCAGGTGCATCGTTTCAAAACGTCAAATCTACAAAATGTCAGTCTTACTGAAGCAAAGAAATACATTTCTTGATCTGTTTTATTCTTCAAAATCCTAATTTAGAGTGCTTTAGCTCTTTCTAGGATTGAGGGAGCATATGTGCAAACAAACACCAATTAAAACATTCTTCAACAGCCAGATACATGTTTATGGGTTTAAAATAGCCGTATATACTATCTTTCAAGGCAAAGCTTTCCCACGGGGCAGCTTACAAAACATGTTCTAAAATAAAAATTAAATCTAAGCAAAATGATCCAATTTAGAAACATATTATTAAAATAGCAGCAGCTATAGCCCTTGATATGGAATATAGCCGAAGTGGACCACTTAAATCAAGATGAAGCAAAAGGGATTTTTTTTTTGATGAGATAGATGTTGATTCATCATTGAAAAGAACATAATGGATATTGATGGTGGCCCTACAAGCCCATTCTAGCAAGCTTGAGCAGATTCATAAGGGGACATTCACACTCTCAAATAATCAGGTCCAAAATTTTAGAGCTTCTTCTCAATGTGAAATATTAATTGTACAGGTAGCCCTTGACTTACAATAGTTCATTTAGTGACCATTTGAAGTTACAACAGCATTAAAAAAAGTTACTTTCACACAGTGGTGGGATTCAAAAATTTCTACTACTTGTTCTGTGGGCGTGGCTTGGTGGGCCTGGCAGGGGAAGGATACTGTAAATTTTCCAGTCAGAGGTGGTATTTGCTGGTTCTCTGAACTACTCAAAATTTCCGCTACCAGTTCTCCAGAACTGGTCAGAACCTGCTGAATACCACCTCTGCTTTCATACTTACGATCGTTGCAACATCCCCATGGTCACATGATTTACATTCGGATTCTTGACAACTGACTGACATTTGACAGCTGCAGTGTCTCAGAGATATGTGATCCCCTTTTGCAACTTTCTGACAAGAAAAGTAAATGGGGAAACCAGATTCATTTAACAACCGTGTTACCAACTGAAGTGATTCACTTAACAAATGTAGCGAGAAAAGTCATACAATGGAGCAAAACTCACTTAACAAATTTCTCATTTAGCAACATAAATTTTGGGCTCAATTTATTTTATTTATTTATTATTTATTTGATTTGTCAGTTGCTTACAAAATAATAGGTATAAGTATAAACATGAGTAAGAATACAGAAAATAGGTACGATTAAATGGGGGCAATAGGACAGGGACCGGAGGCACGATGGTGCACTCATGCACACCCCTTAATTGTGGTTGTAAGTTGAGGACTACCTGTAATTCTCTCTGGCTTTTACTTGGAGGAAACTTAAACCCTGAGGCTATGTTCCCTCCTCAAACTGATCAATCTTTTGACTTTGTAGCTTGGACCATGAGCAGAATTGGGGATTATTAGATCAGAGTGGGCAGGCATTCATGGGTGCCCCCATTTTCTTCTTCTTTGTTGTAATAGCCAAGTCCCTTGCCATTTTCAGGTGGAAAACACATAAAAACTATATTGGGAATCCTAATGTAGGTATCTTAGCAATAGCACTTAGGCTTATATACTCCTTCATAGTGCTTTTACAACCCTTTCTAAGCTGTTTACAGAATCAGCCTATGGCCCCCAACAATCTGGGTCCTCATTTTACCAACCTCGGAAGGGTGGAAAGGTGGTCAATCTTGAGATGGTCAGGATCAAACTCCTGGCAGGGAACAGCGTTAGCCTGCAATACCTCATTCTAAAACACTTGAGTCTCCACTAATTCTCATAAGGGTTGTGGAAAGCTGAATCAACTTTGAGCCAGTCAGAATCGAACTGCTGGCAGTCGGCAGTCAGCAGAATTAGCCTGCAGTGCTACATTCTAACCACTGCGCCACCACAGCTCTTTAACATCTTGCAATGTTTTTTTTTTTAAAAAAATCACCTTCTAAATAAGTAGGGAAAGAAGAAAGAAAGAATCTCAAGTTTCAACCAGATGTGTGTTGGGCCTGATGAGTCATTCTGAGGCCTTTATCTCCTCCTCTGTTACAGTTAAGTGCAGCATCCGCTAAAAGACTACCCATCCCTAGTGAAACCATTCGCTGATCAGCATGTTAGAAGGAGTGTACATGAAGTTGCCGCTGCCAAGTAGCTCCTTTCGGCTCCTTTCGCCTTCTCTGCAGTCTTAAGATAATAACCTCCCATGAGAAGATTCCTAAACGCTTAAACAAGCTCTTCCCTATGAACACCCTCCCTATCATCGAGCATCCCTCGGATCACAATATTTTCACTTGGAGTGATGTCAATCCCATGTCATAAGCTACATCAGACCCGTGCTATGCCGTGTGCCATCGGTGCCAGCAAAACCAAGCTGTTGTGGCCTGATAAAGTATAATGAGACTTACAGTGCTGGGGCAGGGGGAGCTTGCCAGGGAAGCATGTTAGGTGGGTTAATTAAGTGTGCTTAGCGATGTACCAACCGCATTAAATGCTTCAGGCTGTCTGCAGGCTTAGGCATATTTTATTGGTGTTTTTTTTTTAAACTTAGAAAGAATGTTCAAAAGTATCATACACTCTTATGTTTATGTATAGAAAAGTAAATGGTAGAAAATGAGGATCAGGGTGTGTTTTTTTTGGGGGGGGGTTGTAGGGCCCTGTGAAACCATTCCTGCCAAAGAGAGAACCACTCCATTTGGGGTTCAAGCACCCCCTCTCCCTTCTGCAGATGAGGAGAGCTTTCTTATCTAGGTTCCCCACTTATATGAAATGTTGAGCAATACCACGCTGGCCCTGGTTTTCAGTCTTGTGAAACTTCATTAGACTCATTACAGGGCTAAGAAATTAGGGATTTGGGGTGGGAGGAAGAGGCTCAATGCGAGTGTTAAGCTGCAAACAAAAACAACAATTTTCTTTCTAAAAACAGTCTTGTGAGACAGGACATGCCTCAGCCAGGCTTGTAATTTCAGATATAAAATATTTCTGGACTTGTTTCTGCCAAACCAGTAGGATTAGACTGCTGGATCATGACTAAGGTGCAAATGGACACTTGATCATTAAGGTTCCAAAGTCACGCTCAAC